TCCCTTCTAACTTTCCTGACACAGGCTTGCTAGTCTTTAGTTCTTTTCACTTCTGCTGCAGGGTTTTTGGGTAGAGATCATGCGGTATATATTATACTATTTTTACGTAATGAGCAAACCTTGGTGCTCCTATAAATTGTATCTTTTTAAAGATGTCCATGATTGTGCTTTGTTGGGGGGAAATTATCACCGTGTCTGCACTCTTTCCTACTGGCTCTATATCCAGAAGTCCTGCTAGATTTATTTATTGATTCTAATAATTTATCTCTAGAATTCTAGATATTACCTATGAGTGATGATGACATTTTATTTTATTATTTTTAAATTGTTATTCTTATCCGATTTTGAGTTATGGTGTTACCATGTAGCCCTGGCTAGCCTGGAACTTGCTATGTAGACCAGGCTGGCCTTGAACTCAGGGAGCTCCTCCTGCCTCTGCCTCCTGAGCACTGGGACTAAAGGCGTGTGCTACCACCACACTCAGCTTCATGTCCTTATTGCTCACCGGTTCTTACAATCTTTCTCTATATAGTTCCTTCTTTTTCATCTCGTCTGTCCCTTTTTCCTCCCAATCTTCTTCTTTTCTCTGTCTCTCTGGCTTTCTTTCTGCCTTGATTGTACTATGTTGGACCCCAAATAAGATGCTGAATATACGTGATAACACCTCCATGCCATTCCCTCCTGTAGAGGAGGGACTTCAATGTTTCATCTTTAAAATGTGAGTTTATTCTATTTATATTATAATATCTTTAAACTTATATTTAATTAGAAAATTCTCTTTCTGTGTGTGTGTGTATATATATATGACTTCTCAAATCAAATAGTCTCATTCTTTATTTTTAATTAAAAATTTTTATTTGGGGGCTGGAGCAATGACTCAGCAGTTAAGAGCACTGGCTGCTCTTCCAGAGGTCCTGAGTTCAATTCCCTGCCACATGGTGGCTCACAACCCTCTATGATAGGATCTGATGCCCTCTTCTGGCATGCAGGCATATGTGCAGAACACTCATACATAAAAATATAAATTTTAAAAATTTAAAAATTTTATTTGTGTGTTTGTGCACCCATATGTGTGAGGGTGCCAGAAGAAGGTTTTTGGGGATCCCCTGGAGCTGGAGTTACAGGCAGTTGTGAGCCTTTCAACATGGTTGCTGGGAACCAAACTCCATCCTCTGCAGGAGCAACAAGTGCCCTTTGAAATCGGTTTTCCAGACTGTCCAGCATTCAGTGCAGCACTGTGTCTGTGAGACCATACCTGACGCCGGATTTGCCCAGTCTGTATATCTAAATCTACACTCTTTGATTCCTATCTCCCAAATCCTCACTCCACCCCGACCCCACAACCACCATGTGGTTCTCTGCTACATTCTTCCTTTTGCATAGTCCACACCCAAGGGACACCGGGCGGTCTCTTTCTCTGCATGGCCGTTTCCTTTGCCACGGAGACCTCCAGGCTTCCACTCTTTCTCCTTTTCCCCTGAGGGATTCAAGAGGAATTTCCCAATCAATGTACTTATCTCGAACTTGAGTGTTAGAAATAGACGAAGTTTGCTACCATCAAGGCAAAACTCCAAAGGGAACTGAGAGATAGTTCCTTGTGATTCATCTGGGAGTCACATGGGTCCAAGTTGCACTGAATGACAACACTTCACTGTAGAAACATTACACGAACTTTTATAGTCACAGAACAAAAGGCGGTCTAAACGAAGGCATTTTCAAACACATTGCCAGGGACATCAACTAGATGGGATGCAGGAAAGCGGAGACATCTCTTCCATAAGTCTCAGATGCTATCTGAGGACATTCTTAACTTTAGGGTTGGCAGAAGCCAGTGGTCTGCTAAATTAATACATCCCAGGGGCTTTACTTGTTAGTTGAAAGGATGTTAGGTCTGACAAAGAGATGGATGATAAAGGTCCATGAAGGGATTAAAGATAGCTCAAGATAATTTGGTTCTTGACCCGCCACATTCCAGCACACACACACACACACACACACACACACACACACACACACACACACACACACACACTCACTCACACACACACACAACACACCCCATGAAGTTCTAGTCAGTCTATAAAAACTTCAACACAGGCGAGGCTTTGTGAGGTGTGTGTGCACAGGGGCTTCAACCCACATTACTCAGAAGAGAAAAAAGTAAATATGGGGTCTGATAAATAGCTCTATTCAAATATGATTTTTTGTCTTCTAAATAACATTTTTTGAACAATTACATCTATATCTATAATATATTAAAATATGAAATGTTTCTACTCATCTCTCTGTAATCCTAGGACTTGAGGCTGGGACAGCAGAATGGTGAGTTTGAGGCCAGCCTGGGCTATGCATGAGACCTTGACTCAGAACACAAAAGGAAGCAAGCAAACAAGAACAAAATGAAGGAGGGAGGGAGGGAGAGAAGGAGGGAGGGAGGAGACAGGGAAGAGGGAGGGGAAAGGTCATTCACGTCAGCTAGGAAATCCTCTAGCTGGTTTATTCCTTTCCTCATACCTTAAATGTTGTCTTTCAGGTCAGACAGAGGAAGGACGCCCTCCCTGTGGATAGCTAGCTCATCTCAACACTCGCCCAAGAGAACTCGCTCGTGTGCAGGGGGCGCTGAGGGGGCTGGGAGACCCGTGCGACTTCTGCATGCCTCCTTGTTGGCTTTGGTTGTCTGTGTGTCTATTCAGTACTGCTGGACCTCTTAGGTTTCACAGTCAGCCCTTCTTGGCCCTGGTCACTGTGGGGATTGTGACAGAACATTCTAGGGGACCGTCTAAGATCGCCAATTAGGAGAAAGAAAGCTTTAAGAGCCAAGTCTCCTATCACCGGCTCAGCAAACGTTCATCTTGGGATCGGGAGAGTAGTCAGAGCTAAGAAAGGACCTATAAGCGCGGAGAACTTTAGTCTCTGTCTTTTTGTTTTCCTGAGACAGGGTTTCTCCGTGTAGCCCTGGCTGTCCTGGAACTCACTCTGTAGACCAGGCTTGGCCTCAAACTCACAGAGCTCTGCCTGCTTCTGCTTCCCGAGTGCTGGGACTAAAGGAGTGCACCACCACACCCAGCAGTCTCTGTCTTATTTATTTATTTATTCGTTCATTTATTTGTTTATTTTCTATTTATTACTTATTTTACAACTCGACCACTGTTTCTCCTCCTTCCTCTCCTCTCAGTCTCTCCACCCCCACCTCTCCTTTGCCCCCCCCATCCACTCCTCCTCCATTTCTATTCAGAGGAGGACAGGCCTCCCATGGATATCAACCAAACATGGTGTATCAAGTTGAATGAATGTTCATAGCAGCTCTATTAGTAATAGCCAGAAACTGGACGCAACCTAGATGTCCCTCAACCGAAAAGCAGATAAGGAAACTGTGGTACATTTACACAATGGAGTATTACTCAGCTATTAAAAACAATGACATCAAGAAAACTGCAGGCAAATGGTTTAGTCTCTGTCTTTTGTCCTCAGGGCAGCCGTAGGACTAAACCCGGGACTCAGTCACCTGGGTGGACAGCACTGTCCAGCCAAGTGCTGACCTGCCCTTCTGTGGGGCTGTCTGCTTGGCACTGGATATGGCCCCTTTGGTCATCTTCACAAAAGGAGTGTCCTCGGGCCCTACATTCTTCTGTGACACTCCTATGAGTCTGGCTCTGTTCGTTTACAAGCTGTCCTCTCCATCTCTGAGGCCATACCACCAGGGCCACCTGATAACCACATCCAGATCGAGTTACAGAGGCGCCGCCACGGTGATGCCGCTGGCCTCAGAGTCCACAAGGCTGAGTGACTTGGTGGAAATATTTTCCTCCTGGACTCCCCTTTGCCAGCTGCTCACCCTCCTGCTCGTTTTTATAATGAAAAAGGAAATTATTACTGCTTCACACGATGGCGGCTCCAGAAATAGTAAGTAAGGGGGGCCGGGGGTGGGGAGGGCACCTCCAGGATGCGCTCTGTGTAAGGGCTCAGCTTCCCCATGTGAGACCTGCCAACCAAGGCCTGCTTGGGAGGGGATACTCCCCCAGGGCCGATTTTCCAGAAAGCTTAGCATTTACTAATATTGTGAGAAACAAGGGTAGTTGTTAATGGTGTGTAGCTCCATTTGGAATGTGGGCAAACACAACAGGTAGCCAGGAAGGAGGCAGACATAGGTTCATCATTGGCGCTCACCAGGGGGTCAATCAGGGGGTCTCTGTGGACCTCAGCCTGGACGGAAGCAGATTCCTAAACACCCTGGTTGTGTACTTGGGAGGACTCACCTGGGAGTCACCTGAGAGCGCCCTTCATGTCTGTGCTTGCTCACCCTCTCTGGAAAGTCTCTACCGTAGGAAACGGAGACCTGCGTGGGTTTGGCCTGAGGCAGAGACTCCCAGCCACTCCTCACTTGGCTGGGTGGCCTGGGTCCCCAGGGCTTGGATACTTTCCTTTTCAATTAGGTCATGTCTGCACGAGCCAGGAAAGGGCTGTGTTTGTGGGAAGCTACTGCCGGCGGGACCGTGGCTTCCTCTCGTGCTGCTTGCATTTGGGAACAAACAAATTGAGTCTCAGAACATCTTATGTCTAGGACAGGTAAATCCTATGGCTAGAAAGAAAAAATGTTGAAGGGCAGAGGAAGACAGCCGTAGAAATCACTCAGATGCTCACTGTCTTCTACAGAAGACCGGCACAGTGGCTTCTGTGTGGCAAAGGGGCTTATCTTCAAAGTGTCACTGATTGCTTTTAAGATTGGCTGCCACCGTTGTTATTGGAGAGGAATTAAAATTCCGCTCTTTTATCAACTCTAGTTTTTTTTTTCTTTTAAATCAATAATCTCTACTGTTTACCGTGGTCCAAGGAAAGTTGTGTTCTCAGTAGACAGATGTTTGGGACAAACCCACAGGGAGTGGGCTTCACGGCTGACTGAAAGGATTTCAAATGGGACAGAGGCACCCCTGGTGCCCACGCTTCCCACAGGGACCAATCCTGCTCACTCCTGGCTAAGCAGGTGGAGGTGGAGCCAGAAGCCAACATCAGAGGCCCTGAGATAGTCACCATGGGGGAAAATGATCCTCCGGCAGCCGAAGCCCCCTTCTCCTTCCGATCACTCTTTGGCTTGGATGATTTGAAAATAAGTCCTGTGGCACCAGGTAGGTGGGACTTTGTGATGTGGGCACTGGGCAGAAGTGGGGAATGTGGTAAAGTGTCCGTGTATGTCTGTGTGTGTGTGTTGGGGGGGGGGATCTCCTTGAATATTCTCTCACTCTCTTTCTTTCTTTCTCTCTCCCGCCTCCCTCTGTCCGTCTATCTCTTCCCTTCTCCTTCCCTCTTTCCTGTACTGGGGACTGAACCAGGCCTTACACACGCTAGATAGGCACTCTGTGACTTTGCTGTTTCCCACCTTCCCTGGGTATTTTCACATTAGTAGCCGGAAGCGTCCCTTTCCTGATGTCCCTTTCCTGATCTTGCCAACGCAGGAGTTGGAGGGTGCTCAGGAGGATCCCCTCTGTGTCGGGCACTTGCTAACTCCCTGGGGGCGGTATTTTTTAGTTTGTTTTGCTTTCTTCTCTTCTTGGAGGTTTTCAGAGACCCAAGCTCCACATTGGCTCTGGTTCATTTTGAAGGAGGTCAAATGCTGGCCAGGAAAACCCTGAGCCCTCCAGGAAGTCCTTAGGAATAGTGGCCGTAGCCCTTCTAGAAAACCCAGGCAAGCTGATTTCTCACCAAAGGTTAAGTGCCCGGTTAAAAGTGAGAGGTATAGCCACCAAAAGGACAGTTGGTGTCATGAGTCACCTGCCTACTAGGTAAAGCATTTTTCCCTCTGACGACTGTTCCTGTGGGGTCTTTGTGCTGAGAGCCGTCTGTGGCTTGCTGGTTTGGAGAGTCCGGCTTAGGAGCAATGGGAATGATGACCCCTGGGGCTGGGGGAGGGTGGGAACTGGGACAGTTCAGGATGTAGCTCTGAACACCCTGCATCCAGGATCCCCTAAGGATCCTTTTTAAGCCATCTGGGTTGCTACAGAGTACGAAGGGCAGGGTGGGAGGCGTGGGCTCACGAAATTGGAAAATACCCCTAGAAACTCCATCCCATGCGGACCACGGCGATGCTGAGGATTTCCTGCTGCCCTTTCGCTGGCTGTTCAGGTTGCTTCCTGTTTGCCAGTTTCTGGGGAACGGCACCCCCACCCCCACCCCCCACAAGGTGTGTGGAGACGGACATCTGTGTACACCCATGACAACATTCAAGATACCTTCCCAGATGTGACGTTGCTGGGTCAAAAATGGCATCTGCTTTTTAAGCCGTGTAGAGACATCTCCAATCTCACACAAATGGGAAGCGAACAATGTCCCGCCCCTGTGCTGTGTGAGAAGCCTGCGGTCCCTGGTCCCTTCGCTGTGAGCACCAGTGGATGTGGTACCAGCAAAGTCTTTGTGATGTTAGGATGAATTTAGGTCGGTTTTTTTTTTTTTTTTTTTTTTTTTTTTTGGTTCATTTCCAGGGAGGTTGGGAGGTTTTCCTGCTTGTCTGTCCTTTGTGGGCACTGCCGCCTCCCAAGTGCTGGGATTACAGGCGTGTGCCACCACCGCCCAACCATCCCAAGTGTCTGAATGTGCTTTTCTATTGCTGTGATAACGTCATGACCAAAAGCAGCTTGGGGAGGGTAGGTTTATGCAAGCTTTGCAGCCTGTGGTCCATCATCCAGGGAAGTCAGGGCAGGAGCTCAAGGCAGGAACCTGGAGGCAGGAACCAAAGCAGAGGCCATGGAGGGGTGCTGCTTACAGGTTTCTTCAGCCCACTTTCTTATGCCATTCAGAACCAACTGCTCCAAGGTGGCATCACCCACAATGATCTAGGCTCTCCATGTCCATCATTAATCAAGAAAATGCTCCATATATATGCCCAAAGGCCAGTTCCCTTTTTCCATGACAGCTGAAGAAATCAGAGTCCAGGTAATCTAGTCTTTAGGAGCTGCAAGCCGAGTTATGCCAGCTCTGATCTGGAGGCAGACAAGAAATTTACTAAACTGGACAGTGAGTGAGCTACTGGACAGCCCCACTCTGGGGGATATGCTGCCTATGTGGTGGCCTCTGCCCCTCTGTGGTGCATGGCCTGGAACAAAGGCTGAGGGTGACTCTGTTGGGAAAGGCCAGCTCTGGATGATTTGAGAGAGCCTGGTGCCCTCCTGGCTTCAAGCACATGGTGTAAAAATCTCCTGTCTCACCACCCATTCTGGACACATCCTTGGGACCTGGAACTTCCTTAAACTGTTCTCCCAGGGCTACTGGGACAAAATGCCACAGCTGGGTGGCTCAGTCAGCAGAGTTTTCTTGTCTCCTTTTGGGGGCTGAAAGTCTGAAAGCTTTGATATCAGTAAGGCCCTGTTCCCATGGATGCACACAGGCCCCGCCAGGCCTCGTGCAGGTATAGAACTTTGGCCAACGACCTTTGGGACTCCTCGAATTGTGGACATGTCACTCTGCCCTTGGCCTTCATCTTCACATGGCTGTCTGTTCCCTTCATCTCTTCTTGTCATCTTTCTTCTATGCATGTCCGGGTCTGTGTTGAAGTTTCCCCCTTCCCGAGGCCACCAGTCATACAAGATTAGTGCCTTCTCTAAGGACCTCATCCTAACTTGTGTTCTCTGTGACCGCCAAGTAAGAACCCATTCTTGGCTGTTGGGAGTTAGGGTGTCAAAGGCTCCTTTGGAGGATACTTTTCAACCCACAACAATGTCTCCTAAGCTGGGACGGAGAGCTGGGCCATAGCTAGGAGGGTGAGCCTGACCCAGACAACGTGGCCATTCATCTAATGCAGTCAGCTAGCGTCTTTGGGCTGGTACCTGCTCTGCACAGAGGGCACAGGGAACACAGGGCTGAACTTTTTTAAGTTTTATGTCACCCCTTGTCAGTGCTCCCTGGCCCCCCCTCCCGGCACCCCCCAACTCCTGTGGTTCACAGATGCAGATGCAGTGGCTGCGCAGATCTTGTCCCTGCTGCCTTTGAAGTTTTTTCCGATCATCGTCATCGGGATCATTGCCTTGATACTGGCGCTGGCCATCGGCCTGGGCAGTGAGTACGGTTCATTATTTAGTAGGTGCTCGAATACCTGCTCTGGCATTTAAACTTGCATGAGTTCCCCCCACCCCCCACCCCGTCTGTACTTGCTGTTGCCTGGCCTTAATTACTGGTGGGTGATATCCTTTTGGTTTGAGGGCTACGGGTTTTCTCTGCCTGTGTGAATGTCAAGCCAGTGTGGGAGCGGGCGGGCAGGGGCTGCTGGCTGTGCTCCGGGCTCTACCACCAGAGTACCTGCACAGTTAGAGTTACTCAAAGGTAGCTGATGAAACAGGACTCTGGGTTGGGAAGGGGGAGGCTGGGGTGCAGCAGACAAAGACTTCCATTCAAGCCATACCACGCACCCTGGCTATTTTTATAGGGAGGTATGTGGGGCTTTTGAGAAAGTGGGTCGTAGGGAGGAAGGGGCTCTCTTAGAGCATATAGTTTCTCATTTTCCCATTCAAGTAACTGCAGCTCAGGGCAGCACAATTTGCCTTCTGCTCAGCCATGTGTTCTACAGTTTATTGGCTTCAGGCCCAGAGTAAAAGGAAGCAGGGTGTTTGAAAGGTCTCAGTTGGGGCTCTTGCTGGGCTAGCTTGGTGTGTTCGCCACTGCCATGCCTTTTTGCTCTTGACTTTGAACCCTTAGAGTCTGAGTTCACCCTGATTTGTGCTTCCTGGAAGTAGTGCTACCGTGGGTACAGCAGTCCCGCCCCTTGGAGTTCAGGACAGACACGGGGTTGAAGGAAACAGGCTGCTGTCAGGGATGCAGTTTCATTACAGGTTTCATTATTGATGGGGCAAGTTCAAGGCCGTGTAGCAGGTTAGTTACTGTTAGTGCTGCACCCGGAGCGGAGCTGCTTGCTAGAATTCTCACTTTCCTCCCTTTGCCCAGTCCACTTCGACTGCTCTGGGAAGTACAGGTGCCATTCATCTTTCAAGTGCATCGAACTGGCCGCTCGGTGCGACGGGGTCTCCGACTGCAAGGACGGGGAGGATGAGTACCGGTGTGGTGAGTCGCACCCGTTCCCGGAAGGAAGTAATAGAGAGTGAACGCGACCCAGCACCTGCCCTTCCGTCTGTGAGATGGATCCAGGGCGTAGCCATTGCCACGCCCTGCCCTCAGCTGGGATGTGCCTAGCTAGGTTCCGGGAGGACTGTTATGTGTGCTTGCATTCACTTGGGGGGACTAGACAGGCTCTGAGTTGAGGGGGTCTCAGGGTGCAGGCCACGGGAACTGCGGCATCTTGTGGGGGAGGGGCTGTGGGTGGGAGTGGGCCAGGTTGGAAGAGGGGCTGCTGCGTGGCGTGAGTGGGGCTGTCGTCAGTCTCTGCCGGGCCTCAGCCTGCACGGGTCCTCACCGCCCTTCTCCCCGTGCCTGGCCAGTGCGGGTGAGCGGCCGGAGAGCAGCACTTCAGGTGTTCACGGCCGCCGCCTGGAGGACCGTGTGCGCCGATGACTGGAAAAACCACCATGCCAAGGTCGCCTGTGGCCAGCTGGGGTTTCCCAGGTGAGTCAGGGCCAAACAGCAAGGGTGACAGATTGCTCCTGGACAGTCAAGAGCTCTCTAGATGCGTTCACATGTCACACTTCATTCTTAGGACAACCTCGTGGCCCTTGGCCTTGTCTTCCTTCACAGGGAGAAGGACAAGGCCCGAGCAGCCCGGTGACTCCAAGTCACACGGAACATTGTGTGTGAAGAGAGTTCTCAGGACTAGAACAGGACTTCAGTTAGGTGCAAAAGCAATTTAGATCCTTGGGGCTGGGGCTCAGTTGGTAGAGCACTGACCTAGCATGCACAAAGCCATGGGTTCTGTTTCAGCACTGTGACAACCGGGCATGGTGGCACACACGTAATCCCTGCACTGTTGGGGCAGAGGAGGGGACAATGTGTGTTCTAGGCCAGCCTGGGCTACAAGGAGAGTTTGGGACCAGCTTGAGCTGAATAGTGAGTTCCTGTCCAACAACAAAAACAAACCAAATAATCAACCAACCAACCAACCAACCAAACAAGCAAACAAACAAACAAAAAACAAACAAACAAAACAAAACAAGACAGCCAAACAAAACATGCCAACCATAAAAAAAACAAAAACAAAAACAAAAAAAACCCAAAAAAACAGTAACAGAAAGCAAATAGTTTGTAAGCCCAGAACTTCTGAGTGGAAAAATAAATACTCTGGCTAGGTGCTTTGAAGCTTAAAAAAGTAGATGTTGGGACACTGTTGCCCATGGTCATGAGGATCACATCCAGTTATTCAAAACCACCCTTAGCCTTAGGAGACCATCTAAGACGGTGTCTTTTCATCTTCAGCGTTGGGAGTCGGCTGCTGGCTTTCCACACTGCAGCCACACGCCTTTGCCCAACTGAGGGCTCCCTTCCCTTCATGGCCGTCCCTCCTGAGCCCTGCCTTGTTTCCCAGGGTGCCATTACCTTTTGGCTTCTCAATACTGTAGGTCCTAGTTTACCACAGACAGGTTCCCAAGTTCCCACACTCACCTTAGGAACTGAGCAAGCTCAAAGGTGGCAATCTCAGAAGTACATCCTAGTCTGTAACCAAGGAAGCAAGGTCCTCAAAACTACATGGCTACCATCTGTGGAGGATCTAAGCCAGTGCCATCCTAGGTGCCCCACAGCGGAGGTCCCCCAGGCCTGCCTCCGCTGCATGCCATGCCTGCCTGGGTTCCGAAATAAGCTGCAACTAAAATTCATTGATGGCTGCAAGGGTCACTAGGGACAATGTTGAGAATTGTGTAGCTTTACTCCTTAGAGAAGAGAAAATTCAAACAGCACAAAACACACTCATACACACACACACACACACACACACACACACACACACACACACACACACACACAAACAGCCCCAGTTTCCCCATCAGGTATCTGTTTCCTGTCAGTCTCTTTCTCATTCCTCCTCTTCTCTTCTGGAATATTCTCCCCTTCCAAATCCCCGCCCTTTGCCATACTGTCCAGACACACTCTGTTCAAGTCCTCTGCGCACCTTGCGGACCTTGGATAGGAACTTCAGGTCTTCGGGCATGTTGGAGCCACTTGACAGGGTGGGCAGCTCCTGGTTCTAACCCCCACCCTAGCCTCCATTTCTCTCCTCTGAGAGGATGGTGGGGACACACCTTGTCCCTGTACCACTTTCTCTGGCACCATGAACACATCACCCTCCCATTGCCCCAGTCAGTCTCTCTGACTCCGTTCCGTGTTCTTGTCTATCCTTTCCTCCTCTCCCTTTAGAAGCTCCCCCTCCTCTGCCACATCTGTCTCTCATCTCTGGAATAGCATCAGACAAGCAAGCAAGCAAATAAACAAAAAACCAAATCAAAACCCAAACCAGACAGTCCAGAGAGTTGGCCCGAGTCTTGGTGCAGATTGAGGTCAGTCTCGTGAGACTTGCCTAGTCTCCTCCCTTAGAATGGACAATGTCAGCGCCCACCTTAAAAGGCTGAGGGAACTCAGTGGTCACTAGGGTGATCATGGCCATGGTCGGGGTGTCTGCTACTCTGAGGCAATCTGTGGGCTTCACTTGTGACACATAGGCTCCTTCTACATTTCGTGAGCTCATCACCCTGCCCATCTTCCCCATGACCTGACATCCTAACAAGAGCCGGCTCCTTCACATCAAGGCAGCCTACTGCAACCTCCCCTGGGAGGAAATGCCTGGAAAACATCCTGGTGGTGTTTTCTTCAAACCCATGCTTGGCTGAACACTGCACTGTACTTACACGAGTCTCTGTGGCCCTTAACAGCAATTGGATGGCATCCTGTGTGACAGACTGCAGCCACCTGTAGTACACTTTGTTCCCTCACCTTCTTGGAGGACTCCTTAAATAATTCTTCTTCTTCTTCTTCTTCTTCTTCTTCTTCTTCTTCTTCTTCTTCTTCTTCTTCTCCTCCTCCTCCTCCTCCTCCCCCCCTCCTCCTCCTCCTCCTCCTCCTCCTTCTCCTCCTCCTCCTCCTCCTTTTTTATTGCTGGGTATTGCTGACCTACTCTATCCTCTTCTGGTCTCTTTAACTCTGTCTTCTGCACCACGGATGTATATGCCCATCTCCTGACTGAGCCCATTTACTTGACCCCAGGGTCCTGGAGTCACTGTTTTCTATGAGTGCTAGGCAAAGTGGGACAGGCTCTCATACTCCCTGAACTCCTGACCCTCGGGAGTTAGACAACTAGCTGCCTCCCCTGAGGCTTGGCTTCAGCAAAGCCAAGTGCATCAGAGTGGGGTGGGTGGGGGACTACCTAACTGTAGCAGGAAGTGGTCTTTCTTTGTGGCTGGAGCAGGGTGGGTGGGCAGGCCAGGCTGTGGACTGGGGGACAGCAAGCAGGTCCCCAGGCCACACCCGGTCTGGAATGCCTGGCTAAGGTGTATGCATTTCATCAGCAAAATAAAGCCTTCGATGGTTTGGGGAGGACCCAGGGAGGTCCCCCAAGTGTGATGCTTGTAACCTGGTGAGTGTGTGTGGGGTGATGGATATTTCAGAGTCTCCATGACTGCTGGGTCTGGGTTTCTGATTCTGCAGCTATGTGAGCTCAGACCACCTCAGAGTGGACGCACTGGAGGAGCAGTTCCAGGGCGACTTTGTGTCCATCAATCACCTCTTGCCAGATGACAAGGTGACCACGTTGCACCACTCCGTGTACGTGAGGTAAGCCGTTCGATAGGTGCTGCTGCTGCTGTCTGCGTCGGTGCTGAGTCACAAGGCTGGGTTTGTGAAGCCGTGGTGCACTCCGGGAGGGGCAAGAATGTCACCCCCACGAGCAAGGGTGAAGCTCGCTGCTGTGGTTAGAACGGTGGTGTCTAAGCTAGGATGCAGGGTGAACAGACAGTAGAGTTCTGTCAAGGGAAGGAAGGAAGTATAGCAGAAGAGCAACAGTGATGGACAGTGATGGACAGGCGTGTCTTCAGGCCAGGGCTGGGCCTGCCTCACAGCAGGGAAGTGTGTGTGTGTGTGTGTGTGTGTGTGTGTGTGTGTGTGTGTAAGCAAACAAGCAGGGAAGGGAAGAGAAAGCTAGACAGCATCTTTTACAAAGTGCTTTCACATTCACCAGTTACTCACACCCCGCCCCCACCCCCAACTCCCAACCCCCAACCCTGAAACTCTGATAAGGAAAAACCAGGTTCCCTTAGCAACAGTCAGATGCCCAGATCGGAGATATAGCTCCCCATTGGGGCCCAGGCTGAAGCAGGGAGAAAATACCACAGGTGCTTTGCAGCCAGGCTTTCCTCTGGACACCCAGGCCCCCAGGTCCAACGTGTATGACCCCCTGCTCTGTGAACAGCAGCTTGTTGGCCTGTCCATGAACTGTTCTTTCTACTGTAGGGAAGGCTGTGCCTCGGGCTATGTGGTCACCTTGAAGTGCTCGGGTAAGTGTCTAAATATGTAGGGAGCCACATGGATGCCTGCCCTTGTGGAGTCATGTTCTCCCTTTGGGGACAGCTCAAGATCACGTCTCCTAGATGCCAGTGTGGGGCTAGGCACCGGGAGGTCATTGATGGGTAGGGTGAGCATGCCTGCTCTCTGAAACAGCCCTTCTCCCACAAACCCCACACATCTCAGTCTTTTGTGTGCCTGACCCTCTCCTCCTGGGTGGGGGACAGGGATATTGCCAGGTAGGAGGTTTAGGGTGATGACAGCATTGCCCATAAACCCTTGTTCTCCCTCGGTAGCCTGTGGCCTGAGAACTGGCTACAGCCCCCGCATTGTGGGTGGAAACATGTCCTCGCTCGCCCAGTGGCCCTGGCAAGTCAGTCTCCAGTTCCAGGGGTACCACCTATGCGGGGGCTCTGTCATCACCCCTCTGTGGATCGTCACGGCTGCGCACTGTGTCTACGAGTGAGTGCCTGGGCCCTGCTAATGTGGAGTCTGCTCTTCCCAGAGCCTTATCTAGTCCTGGGTCAGATGGAGACGGGGTGATCTGGGGGTGAGGGCAGGTTAGGAAGGCAGGAAGCCAGTCACCATAAAGCCACATACAGTGTAAATGCCTGCCTTTCTTAAAGTGAGCCTGTCTCTGTGTCTGGGAACGATATGAGCTGGGCTGGCACAGAGAGGGCAGCAAAAGGAGGAAGATTGGGGAGGAAAGGGACCTTGAACTGAGGGTCCCAGGCCTTCCTGTAGCACACTACTGTCATCCATGTTATGGTGTGACAGGGTATCATGGGGTGGGAGTGCAGGGCACCCAGAGAACACTGAGCTCCCACCAAGCTGTGTCTGTCAGGAGTTTAGATGGCAAGGAAGCCACAGAAAGCATCTCAAACCCAGTGGCGGATTCTCTTTTTATCTCCTGTTTTGGCTACTGTCTGGTGGAGAACCCCCTCCCCCCAGCCTCTGCAGGGAGCAAAGCTGAGCCTGACCCTCCAATGCATCTCTCTCGGGTGGTGTGGAGAGAATGGCTTGTCTGGGATGTACATGGGGTGTGGTCTGTGTTCCTGCAGGACTTGGGACTGTGGTCAGTGTGGGGCACAGATGTGCGGGACCTTGGTGTCTCCCACCTGGTGACATCTCTCTCACTCCCTCTCTGGGCTCTTGGGACACTAGAGCTCGGCATGGCTGGCTCTGTCCTGAGCTCCACCTCTCCGTCTGTGCATTTCAGCCTGTACCACCCCAAGTCCTGGACTGTCCAGGTGGGTCTTGTGTCGCTGATGGACAGTCCTGTGCCCTCCCATCTGGTGGAGAAAATCATCTACCACAGCAAGTACAAGCCAAAGCGGCTAGGCAATGACATCGCCCTCATGAAGCTGGCCGAGCCGCTCACCTTTGACGGTATGTCTGGGCTTCTGCACCAGACAGTTGCTTTGAACTTGTTTCAAGAGCATTGGTGGTTACTTGTTGAAGCATTGTTCATTGTTCTAATGGCTGCTGCTTTACTATCCTTGCCAGAAAATTCCGATGTCTGATTCAGCTGGGTATTGACATCAATGCATTATCTTTGCTCATTAAAGTTGTGTGCATGCACATGCACGTGTGTGTGCACATGTATGTGCATGCACATGGAGGCCAGAGGCCAACACCAACAACCTTGGGTGTTGTACCTCAGGGACCTTCCATCTTGTTTTTTGGGGGGAGCAGGGTCTCTCACTGGTCTAGAGTTACCTAATAGGCTGACTGGCCAATAAGTCCCAGGGATCCTTCTGTCTCTATCTCTCCAGCATGGGGTAACAGGCTCAGTGCCATTACATCTGGCTTTTTACATGGGTTTCACAGATCAAAGTCAGGTCTTCATGGCTATGTGGCAAGCACTTTGTCAACTGAGTCATCTTCCCAGCCCAAGTGATGTGTCTTCAATCTGAGCATGTTAGGAGACTGAGCCCTCTCCTAAAACTTCAGTCCTCTTACCTTCTTTAGATCCGGTTTGTCGATCTCAACAGCGGCTCTGGCGTTAATTTCATCTCATAGCCTTCCTGGTTCTTCCCTGGTCTCTCGGTCTGGTTTGGTACCAGCTGCATGTAAGAGCTTCTCTAGGCCAGGCCACCTGGTGCCTCTAGGTGGTGGGAGAGAGTCACCTGCCTTTAGGGACCCAGAGCAGACAGCACATTCCTGTCCTGGTGTTTGCTACATGGAGCCTCTTGAAGGGCATCTCCAGTGCAAAGAGCAGGGTCCCAGCCTGGGGCAGCTTGAGGGCTTGGCAGGAGCCTCCCTCTTCCTCAGCATCTGGAAGTTTCTAGGCATCTTCAGCTCCCTGGACCTTCTTAGAACCGATCTCTCCCCTTCTTTCCGATTCTGCCACCTCCAGTGACAGAGCCTGTGAGTTCCAAGCTCAGCCCTCTGGCTGTTATAGAAACCCCCACAGAGTCAGGCCTGCTAGACCCCTCTGGCATTCTGTGAGTGGTACAGAACAAAGGAAACATTGGCTCCATCAGTGAGAGTCCTGACCTTCTGAGAATAAGCACACTGGAGGGCAGGCAGGGCTGTTTCCAAGGTGGACTCCCCTTCTCTGCAATGTGTGATTTCTAGCACAACACAGAAAAAAAAAAAAAAAACTTTTGGGATGGGTTTGAGGGCTGTTACTTGCTAATTATTTTTGGTGGTATTTGATTCTAGAAAAAGGAGGTGTCTCTAGCTGTACCTGACTAAAGAGTTAAATATGTCTCCACCCCTCTCCACCTTTCTGTTATCGCCACGCGAGATGGAGGACATCTCAAGGACTGCTCACATGAAAGCCCGGGGCACATGCAGTCACTTGGCTTTGCTAGGGTCTCAGTGGCACAGCCTAGGTACAGGCCAGCCTGCTGTTACTACAAACACCTGGGGCAGCAGGAACATCCACAGTGTGATGTTCTGTGTATGCACTCAAAGTCTGGACCAGGAGTGGCCAGCTCTGTCCCAAGGGCCAAGTGTGACTCAATGCACATTTGAGCAAGTAAAATTTTGTCATAAATCCACCAGTCCCCTATGGTTTTTTTTTATTTGTTTATATCTCCTATGGATCCAGCAACAGTGATGGCATGATCACATGACCCACAAGCCTGAACTATTTACTATCCAGGCTTTTATAGCTAGGGTTTGCTGCTGGCTCTGGACTCACACCACAGTCTAGCGCTACATTCGAGTTTTATAGACTCTGGGGGATGAGTGGGTAGAGCCTCTGCTCTGAGCTAGCTGCCTGTCATGATCAAGGCCCAACCCCTCCCTAGGAGATGGGTTCAGAAAGTCAGTTGATTTCTGGGACAGTGGCTTCAGGAACTTCACATCATTATTCCCTTTCTAACAGAGACTATCCAGCCTGTCTGTTTGCCCAACTCTGAAGAGAACTTTCCTGACGGGAAACTGTGCTGGACATCGGGATGGGGGGCCACAGAGGACGGAGGTCAGTGGGCTGAAGCCAGAGGCTGGGAGGGCCCCTCCAATGTTCTGCCGTGATGTCGCCTTAGGATACTTGGAGGTTCCCAGCTCAGGGTCAGTGCAGACCAACTGTTCACAACAGCAGTCTGCTGAGTAACCATGGGCCACCATGGCGTCACTCATCTTTGGACAGTGTGACGTTGTGAGGCTTCTCTAGGGAGAAACGGGCTATGAGGGAGAAGTGTGGGTACTTGTCCATGGAGAGGCCTTCACCCATCCATCCTTCCTGTCTCCTCTCACTCTGCAAATCGAGTGTATGAAGCACACCTAGATGACCCCCCAAGTTTTAGTCAGCATGCAGGGATACAGGGTGAAGAACTGATGTCTGTGAGAGCTGGCAGGGTGTGCTACTTTCTCCTGTGAGGGTGGAGTAGAAGGCACTACCCAGGAGCATCCACTGTGCTGGTAGTGGCAATACTGTCAGTCATGGTCACATACCTGACAGGGACATCTGTGTCCCTTGCATCAAGATAGAGTGCTGACATGGTCTGGAGGCTCAAGGTTCCCAGCACTGACTTTCCTTCGTGCATTTTCTGGACGCAGGCCAGTCTGCTGTCACTAGATACTGTAACAAACTACTGTGGCCTGGATGGCTCAAAAGGCTCAAAAGCGCAGATGCAAGTCTTCTCACAGTTCTAAAGTCTAAGGTCAAGGTGTCCTCAGGCCTGAGGTGGGGTCTGTCCCAGCCTCTCCCCAGCGTCTGGTGGCTCCAGCCATTCTCAGGTTCCTTGGCTGGCTGATGCGTCACTCCAGTCCCGGTGGCTAGATGGTTGAGTTTTTGTTGTGTGGTTATCCACCCCACCCCCCTACCCCCCGCCCAAGGTGGGTTCTGGGTATTGAACCAACCACTCTACCGACTGACCCATCTCCTCAGTCCCTTGATCCCTGTCTCCATGGCATCAGTTGTCGGATTTAGAACCTGCCCTACACGCAAGATGACCTGGCCTTGAGATCGTACTTCAGCAAACCCAGCAGAGGCTGTTCCAAATAGGGTCACATGTCTTGGTTACAGGCAGACAAATAAAGAAGGGAGCTATACTTCAACCCATGCAGGAAGTCCCATGTTTTCCTTAGGAGACATATTCATTCAGGGTCTCACGGCAGCCCAGGATATCCAGGAACTCACTATGTAGCCCAGGCTAGCCATGAACTTCCTAGAAACCCTCCAGCCTCAGCCCCTCAGACTCGGGGATTCGATACCAAGCTCATGTTTATTACCTTCCAGTCAAAGCTCAGAAGTCACCAGCCAGCCTCAGGGGTCGCTGATGCCGGCAGGCTGGTTCCTCAGGTGGCTCTGATGACAGCTGGCCCCTTACCTTTGCCTCTACACTTCTGGGCTGGTGGCCTCAGCTGCATCTTCAAGGCCGACAGGCTGATCTGATGCTAAGCCCTGCTCCTCCTCTGACGATGCCTTCTTTGAGTCCTTGTAGTTTTCATGGGTCTACCCACATCATCGAGGCTATCTCATGCCTGTGCCCTTGAATGCCTGCCTGGGAAGTCCCCTGGCTGATGGCCTGGCCACAGGTCCAGGGCCCACACCTGTATTTGGAGGGACACATTTCTGCCGACCGCATACAGCCCTGTCCGGATGTGCGTGGCCTCCGGGAGCCCGAGTTTCCCTTTTCTAACGTGGATTGACTGGGGTGGGTCAAGGGCTTGGCTGGCTGTGGGAAGAAACATTTGTCTACTGTTCCCCACTTCTCTTTCCCTTTGGGTCTCTTAGGGGGTGTAAGTGGTCCTGATGCAGAGGTGAGAACACACAGCCCATGTGCTCCGTGACAGTCTGCCATTCCAGCTACAGACCTGGTGTTCACTCTTGTTGCTTTGTGTCGGGTGGCATGTCCCTGGCCCCCTTTTCTCCTGTCCCTGTCTCTGTTTTCTAAGTTGGACTCCTCACTGCACATTTCTTCATTACTTTGAGGCAGGTGACGCCTCCCCCGTCCTGAACCACGCGGCTGTCCCTTTGATTTCAAACAAGATCTGCAACCACAGGGATGTTTACGGCGGCATCATCTCCCCGTCCATGCTCTGTGCAGGCTATCTGAAGGGCGGTGTGGACAGCTGCCAGGTAAAGGACAGCCAGCTACCCTGGGGGACAGGGCAGCAGGCAAGGGTCCAGCACAGTGACCCAACCCACGGGACAGGCCACTGCCAGCTTCCCTGTGACTGAACAAAAAGCAAATTTACATGGCATAAGGGAGAAATTTGCTTAAGATATCCCTGGCTTTCCTGGTGGCCCGGCCTGTGTTTACCCAGGCTCCCAGTTTTCCAGGGCATGGGGTGTTGCCTTTCCTAATCCTCTCCAGCCCGATTCTGAGTGTGTAGGGGCCCAACTAGAGCTGCAAGCAGGTGTGAGCTGATGGATCTGGGCCCCCAAAAGCCAGAGTGGGTGAGACTCAGTACCACCTGTGGACACAGTGAGTTAGTTCTGCCTCATGCACACCCTTCCTCTTCCAGCTCCAATGGGTCACTCAGGCAGCCGTTGACCTTCCCAGTTTAGTGTTTGGGACCTGGAGGGAGACACAGCTAGAGGGAACCCTTCCCACACAGGCCAGGGGCCACCTCTTGAGAACAGCAGAGTCTGTTCTAGAAGCACACAGGGAGAGGTGTGCCCCGTGGTGTCACCCACTCGCCATGTGGAAAGGGAATTCGATGTCACCAGCCCAGGTCTCTTGACCTTTGCCTCCTTCTGCTCTCCAGGGCGACAGTGGGGGCCCCCTGGTGTGCCAGGAGAGGAGACTGTGGAAGCTGGTGGGTGCAACAAGCTTTGGCATCGGCTGTGCCGAGGTGAACAAGCCTGGGGTCTACACTCGCATCACCTCCTTCCTGGACTGGATTCATGAACAGTTGGAGGTGGGTGGAGTGCCCCAGCGGAGGTGAATGTGACTCTCCAGCTCACGTGTTCCCTGCGCCCAGTGTGACCGCAGCTCTGCCCGGGGGAGCCAGGAGAGGATGGAAAGACTGTTGATTATGCACCCATTTGGCAACTCTGGGTATCAGCCCTAGAGCACAGCTAATCCCCGTGGGTGTGATCCGGGCACACAGGGAGGGACAGAAAGAACGGACCTGCTTGACTCAGCAGGGAGAAAGCTGACCGGTGGGTGAGGTGTCCCCTGGGAGTGGGGGTGAGTTTAGGATGCCATATGTACATGGAGCAGAGGGTGGGTGGGTTGAGTCTAGATGAGGTAGAGTCAGGTGAGGGGGGCCCCCAATGCCCCTGTGAAGTTGATGCCTTGCTCAGAGCCAGAGTGGTACAGAGTTCTTAAGCAGGAGGGGTCTGAGTAGCTTTGCTTCAGGGAGGGGGATGCAGGACAGGCCTACAGAGCCCCCTGGTCAGCAGGAGGAAGACAGGGAAACCCTAAGCCACCAGGGAACTGAACTCACTGGGCACCAGGCAAAGAGATGTTCTTAGACACAGTCCTTGCTGTGGGGAGAGCCAGATGTCCACAACCCCTCTCCCTCTGAGTGGGCAAGGGCTGAAGGAAGGCAAGGCCAAGCCAGGGACCAAGCACCAGGCAAATATTTACTAACTTTCTCTCGGACTGGTCTCATGTCATCCCCTAGTCCAGATTCAAAGATATTTTCTCCTGACATAATAGGGGTGAACTTTATGTAGCATAGACAAACTTTCAAAGGACAACAATCCCAGGGCATTTGACACACTAACGTGTGCGGCCACCACCTCTGTTCAGTTCCAAAATCCTTCCTATGATCCCAGTGGGAAACCATGTCCCTTCCTACCCTCCAGTCTCCAGCAATCAGCTGTGGGCTTCCAAAACCTTATATATACCGTGTTTGTGTGTGTGTGTGTGTGTGTGGTGTTTGACACAGGGTCTTATGAAACCCTGATTGGCCTCTAACTCATTGTGTAGCTGAGGATAATCTCCAACTTCTGATTCTTCTGCCTCCACCTCCCAAGTGTTGGGATAACAGGCATGTACCAACATACTTGGCTAATGGAATTCTGGGATTCAAACCGGGGCCTCATGCATGCTTGGCAGGTACTCTACCACTGAGCTACACCACAGACCTTTAAAAAAGATTATTTAATTAACTAAAGATCTTATTTTAATTTTTGATAGTGTGTGTGTGTGTGTGTGTGTGTGTGTGTGTGTGTGTGTGTGTGTGTGTATAGTGTCTTCCAAGGTCAGAAGAGGAGGTCAGATTCCCCTGGAACTAGAGTTACAGGCTGTTGTAAACTGCTCAATGTAGGTGCTGGGAATGAAACCCAAGTCCTCTCCAGTATAGAGTAGTATGTGCTCTTAACCACTGAGCCACCTCCAAGATCTTTTTAAAGGAGCTCCTGCCATTTGAAGCAACTGACTAAGAAAAGCTACCTTCAATAACTGCCTTAGCACCCCTCAGGCGTTCATTTCTGCTTCTTTTCTTTTTAAAGTTCTATCTTTATTTTATGTGCATGGGTGTTTTGTCTGCAAGTCTGTCTGTGCACTATGTGTGTGCTTGATGCCTGTGGAGGCCAGAAGAAGGCATCGGATCTCTTGAGACTGGAGTTATAGACAGTTGTGAGCTGCCTTGTGGGTGCTGTGAATCAAACCCAGGTCCTCTGCAAAGAGTAGCCAGTGCTCTTAACCTCTGAGCCATCTCTCCAGCCCTAATTACTATTTCTTCATTATTCATTTAACTCAAGTTTTCCTTCCTTCCTTCCTTCCTTCCTTCCTTCCTTCCTCCCTCCCTCCCTCCCTTCCTTCCTTCCTTTCTTCCTTCCTTCCTTCTCTCCTTCCTTCCTTCCTTCCTTGCTTCCTTCCTTTCATTGTTTTGGTTTTTGAGACAGAGTTTCTCTGTGTAACTTTGGCTGTCCTGGAACCTGCTCTGTAGACCAAGGCTGGCCTTGAACTCACAGAGATCTGTCAGCCTCTGCCTCTCAAGTGCTGGGACTAAAGGCATGTACCACCACTGCCCAGCTTTCTTTTTCTTCTTTAGTACCGAGGACTGAATGCAAGGTCTTGGGTGTACTAGATGGGACTCCACCACTGAGCTGCACCCCAGCCCTCGACTTCTTCATTTGAATTTCAGCCTTAAATGAGGCAGGGCACTGAACATGGTTCCTGTGTTGGGGTTGGGGTAGGGATGGAGTAGTGGCAGGTGACGCCTGGGCTTGTTCAGGTCTTCGCATCACTAATCATTTCTGCAGCCTTGCTTCCATCTACTGTGCATGATGGAGCCCATTAGGGCTGGCCCAGTGGAGGCCTGGCTTGCTGGTCACAGGCCGGCAGGAAGCCGCCTGTGGAAGCAGTCTGCGGGCACTACGCATTTAGTACGACAGTACAGCATTTAGCCAACACTTGTCTTCCCTTTGCTAGATATGAAAATGGGCATTTGAGCAGGTGGTTTCCTTGTGCAGAGGCCACTGACACTGTGCCGTGAGACTAGGATGCAGCCAGGCCATGTGCACATGGGAGGTGTAGCAAGCCATCGAGGAACTTCAGAAAGCAAGTGTGGCCGGGCAGCGATGGCGCACGTCTTTAATCCCAGCACTCGGGAGGCAGAGCCAGGTGGATCTCTGTGAGTTCGAGGCCAGCCTGGTCTACAGAGTAAGATCTAGGACAGGCACCAAAACTACACAGAAAAACCCTGTCTCACCCCCACCTCTGAAAAAAAAGAAAGCAAGTGTGCCTTTATGTGGGTGCTCTTGGGACAGAGCTCCCATGTGACTGAGCCTCTTCTGAAAGTCTAAACCAACAGCGGTTACAAAGCAAAGAAGCTGCTCCCCTGGCGCTTCACACTGTTGAGGAATATGGGGCAGCGAGGGGCTCAGGCTGGGAAGTCATGGCAGGGATGGAGTCCTAGACAGTAGGCTCTCTACATTGTGGTGGGTCCTACAACCTTCCTCATGATAGATGGGGATCTTGGACAAGTGAGGGCTCCCAAGTTAGTGAGGACACATAGGAGTACAGCCAAGCCCAGACCAGGACCTCAGCATGACTCTGCCCAGAGAGATAAACACATAGCAAACTTGGGCTCGACAAAGCCTTCCTTGGCTGTTTGCTAAAACTGAAGATCCTCAGTTCCCTCTTCCTGCCAATCCCACTGGCGATTTGGGGCAGGGACCAGGTGATCTTCATGTTTCGAATACCACTTTAGGAAGGCTGCCATACGGAGACTCCCTGGCCATCAGGAAAAGGCCTGGCAGTTTCTGGAATTGTCTGTTCTCTGAGGGGTTTCGCCGTCATGGCTGACTAGGCTTTCTGAGGGTCTCTTCAGGGCGTCTCAGCCATCAGCTGTCTCTGACCACTAAGGACCTTCAGGAGATGTCACCTGCCAGACACACCTGCTCCAAATCTCTCTCCAAGTAGTGCAGGGAAGAACCGGAAGCCCCCTCCCTTCTGTAGGAGGAATCCCAGGTTTGACTGTCTCACTGGAGACCCTTCCAAGAGTCCCTTCACCTGGCCGCACTGTCCCACCTGTCAGCCCCAGAGATCCCCACCCCATCGTCTTCATTCTACTCCCCACATTTCCCTATCCAGTTAGGGCTTAAAACAAAATAGTTCTGGCTCATATGAGGCCTCAGGGATATGCAGCTGAGACCCAGTGCCTTCACATAGCAGTCTGGGGACAATCTTAGGCAGAGATGAAAAGTGCAGAGGCCTTTCTGGGTGGGAGCCCTCCAGAGCTGCAGCCTCCTCCTTCAGAGACCCAGCCCTCCACAGTGACCATTGATAACATTTAATGGGAAATCTAGGTGCCCACGGGGTCACAGTGTCCAAGACATGGCTTGCAGGGGCAAAATGGTGACCTCTGTTTTTACTTTTAGAGAGACCTGAAGACTTGAAGAACGGGGAACAAGCCAGAGCCTGAGCTCCTGAGGGTGGACACAGCCCAAGCCTTCCCTGGACTCCTGTGTGGGCATGGTGGATGCGAGCACCAGCATTTAGTGCCCTGCCCATTGCACTGAGGCAGAGCCAGCGGGAAGAGCACCCTCGCTACCATGGATACCCAGAGCTGTCTGCTGCTAAAACCTCTGGCCAGTGGGGTGTGGTGATGGAATGACCTCGGAGCTTTCTGCGCTTCTCAAGGACGAAAGACCCCCGACTCGCAGCGCACCTTTCCCTGCCATCCCCCTAGATTTCCCCTCAGAGCCGCTGCCAACACAGGCAACCTCCTGTGCAAAACCACTGACGCCAGTTGGTGCAGACCCGAGGCGGGAACTGCTGGTGTGGATTGTTACAGATGTAGTCACCTCCTCCTTCTGTCCCTGGGCTCCAGTTCTCAACCCGAACTTCTGCTTCCAACAGCCCACTTCAGGAGTGGGACAACTTAGCTTGTGAATGATTCAGCCTAAGGTTTTTAATAGCTGTTCCACTATTTTCTCACAGCATTTGGTGCTTGACGAACTGCCAGCTTCTGGAAGGTGCCCCGTCTCTCAGCGTGGCTTGTCCTTGGGCTTACGTGAATGAGTTGTGGCAGCTTGCAGAAACCGCAACCATGGGCCCGCATCGAAAGACCACCCTGCACATGTCAGGAGTCCGCATTTTTCTGTTAGAACAGGTTTCTCAGCACATTAGAGGTATCCCATGTTGCATCATGGGACTCATAAGCAGAGTAAGGGACACAGGTCTGGGCAAAGACAAGACCAGAGGACACTAAAAGCAAGCTGAATAGAAGGTCCTAAGTCATCGAGGGTTGTCACACCTCCATGCACTCTGCTAATGTACTACAGCCGATGGCATCTGGGCCCCTCCTGCATGGCCCACAATCCTGTGGTCCCCATATTATCCAGTAACAGAGGAGGGTTACATGGGAAGTAGCCATTGGTCATTCAAGCTTGTCACAGATTAGGTCTTCAGAATATGAATCAGTTGCTCTGTGGCTGCAAAAGAAAATGTGTGTGTGTGTGTGTGTGTGTGTGTGTGTGTGTGTGTGTGAGTAGGGGTGCTGGGTAGGGGAGACACCACCAAAACAAACTGCCACATGGCCATTGTGCTTGGACTCAACCCTGTCCAGATCAGAGCCACTACTCAGATTTCTGTGACTAGAATAAATGTCCCAAGAACCCCTGTGGGTGCCTGAATCTTCGGCTGACTCTGAGCCCTATAGTGATGGTCCTTTTCCCTGTGCACATATCCCTGTGGTGTAGTATATCTGCTAGTCACAGGAAGAGATGGACAATCATAACTCATCATACAACACGGCAGCTCTAAAACCATATGGCGATCAATACTGAATGCAAGTGGCTGCTTGTCTTCCGAATGTCTTACCACACTTCAGTGAAGTGTTCCAGGGCCTCTCTCTGCTGCGCCCCAGTCACAGACAACACCACATTGTGCTTTGCATTTGGAGGTCTTTATCATCCATGGCAGACCTCAGATGCTGTGACTTGAACAAACCAGATGCATAGACAGCTCAACAGTTAAGAGCTCTGACTGCCCTTGCAGGGGACTGAGGTCTGTTCCCAGTTCACAACTGCCTGTGACTCCAGTTCCAGGGTTCTGACACCCTCTTCTGGCCTTCAAGGGTACCAGGCACACATGTGCGCACGCGCGCACACACACACACACACACACACACACACACACACACACACACACACACACACACAGACATACATATACATAAATAAACATAAAATAAATCTTAAAAAAAATAGATGTCTTAGTTAGGGATACTGTTGCTGGGTGGAACACCATGATGAAGGAGGGTCTATTTCATTCACAATTCATCATCAAAGGCAGTAAAGGCAAGAACTCAAACAGGGTAGGAACCTGGACGCAGGAGCTGTTACAGAGGACTTGGGATGGTTGGGGTGGGAGGGCAGGGACACTACTTACTGGCTTGCTCCTCATGGCTTGCTCAGCCTGCTTTCTTATAGAGCCCAGGACCACCTGCTCAGGGATGGCACCACCCACCATGAGCTGGACCCACCCCAACCAATCACTAATTAAGAAAATGCCCTACAACCAGATCTTATGGAGGCATTTTCTCACCTGAGGCTCCATCCTCTCTGATGACTCTGGCTTGTGTCAAGTGGACATTAAGTAGCCAGGACAATACAGAAAGCAGATGCTGCAGCCACGAGGAAGTCAAGCCGTGTCCCTCACAGCCTCGCCCATTTCAGGTAGAGAGCGGGCAGGGGAGACCTCCGGTGGCCTCAAAGTTCTTCTCTCTCCTCTTTGCAGCCAAAGGCAGCCACAGGCTCCCCATGCTTCAGCTTCACCCTGTTATCTGGTGCCTTCTTGCCCGATTCCTAACACTCAGGCTAGGTCCCTGGTGTGGTATGAAACCCTCATCCCCCCAACCTCTAAGAGCCAGAAACTCCCTTTGAGCTCTGAAACTGGAGGCTCTCTCCCTTCAGAACCCGGCCCGCTGCCGTAACTATCTTAGTAAGCCTCTTCTGAAGGGTAATTTGTCTCAGCTCCTAGCCACAAACTTGTAATATCTTCCTTTTTTATACCTTTAACAGTTGCGAAGTAAAAGAAGGGCCATTTGAATACAAGCATTGCTCTACCAAGACTCCACCCAATAAATGAAGTAACTATTAACTGACGAGTGGGTGGGTAGCATATATGGCGTGGACACACTGGACAGAGGCACGATTTATGTCTAGGGGATAGGGAAAGGCATGAGATTTCCTCATGCTACTCAGAAGAGTGTGTAACTGAAGACTTATTTAGGAGTTTATTTCTGGAATTTCCTGTTTAATACCTTTGGACTACATACAGTTGACCTGTTGTAACCGAAACTTTGGAAAGAGAAACCTTAGATAAGCGCTGAGGACATTTTCGTTTCAGGTGGGTTTTGTCAAATTCTCTGCGAAAATACTGCTGGTTTCCATGTGATATAACCAAGCTGTGAAACGAGGAGTTTTCCTAAGTAGCCACCTCACTCGAGACAGCCGGACTGTGAGGCTGGCAGCAGGACACGTCCAGCCTGCTGTGACTTCATGCTTCTCTGACCGCTGCTGTTTGGATGCTTACACTCCGGTCTTGGATAGTAAGACAGCACCCAGCTAACCAGCATGGACTGGGGGCCTGCTCCAAGCCCTGCACATTCAGTGTGCTCACCTCTCTGTCACTGAACTCCTGCTGTGACAGCTGGGCTGCTCCTTGGGAGCCATTCCTGGCAGTCACCTTCACTTCCTTCGTCTTGGCCCTCTCCCGGCCTGCTTCCCCTCTCCAGGCCTGCCTCCCTCCCCAAGCCATCCCCTCCCCAAGACATCCCCTCCCTAAGCCTGCCCCACCTCAAGGCCTGCTTCATCTCCCTAGTTCCCTGCAAACCTTAGGTCCCTTCCCTTTTGCCTGGCACTCAAAATTCTAAAGAAGAAACCTGCCTGAAGGATCAACATGCTGACTGCTAAGTCATATTTCTTTAGATTTATGGAGTCCAGAACAACCTAGCGCTCTTCATGTAACTTAAAACACATACCTCTTTTCCATAGTCTTTCACGAGAAACATGAGCATTTCCGTGAGGTTTGGCTCACAGGAAAACACCCTGTCCTTCAGAAGGGAGCGCAGGAACTCCTCTCAGGAGCTTGAATTCCATTGCAGCCAGGCCAGAAGGGAACAGAGCTGCATGTCAAGACTGCATTCTGGACTCAGCCTTTCTGCTCCTCTCCTCCCTGTAAACATCGGCTGCATCCCTGGATTCTCCAAGGCAGACCTCTAAGGACAGCTTTATCTCTTTACCGCGGCGGTGGTCCTTGAATAAACCTGACTGCCTCCCACCAGCTCTCATCTCCCAAACATTGGCTTTCAAGTGAGATGCCCAGATGTTAGTCCAGGGACACTAAGGGACAGGGCTAGTGTGATCCCTCTTCTGTGATGAGGTGTCTAGGGTGTAAGAATGGAAGCACTTTCCCAAGGCCACACATTGGTCCAGCAATATATGGACTCAGAATAGTTCATCGTATCAGCAGAAATGAAAGCAATGTGGGACCAGACACTTTGGCATTTTGCTACCCATTCAGAGCCATCAAAAGCGCTTGTGAGCTGGGCGGTGGTGGCGCACGCCTTTAATCCCAGCACTCGGGAGGCAGAGCCAGGCGGATCTCTGTGAGTTCGAGGCCAGCCTGGTCTCCAAAGCGAGTTCCAGGAAAGGCGCAAAGCTACACAGAGAAACCCTGTCTCGGAAAACCAAAAAAAAAAAAAAAAAAGCGCTTGTGATCCCAGGTCCTGACTGACTTCACCTTCCTCCAGGTGGACCACAGGTGGAGAACCAGGAAGTTGTTGCTTTCCCAATAGAGCAGTGGTTTTCAACTTGTGGGTTGTGACCTCCCAGGGGTCGCATATCAGATATCCTGCATATAAGATATTTACGTTACAATTCATACCAGTAGCAAAATTACAGCTATAAAGTAGCAACAAAAAATAATTTTGTGGTTGGGGGTCACCACAACGTGAGGAACTGTATTAAAGGGTCGCAGCACTAGGAAGGTTGAGAACCACTGCTCCAGGAAAATACTTGGTCTTCCTAAAGACAGCTGTTGGCTCTAGGCAGAGTCCAACAGGGTGGCCATGTTCTTCCCTTTCTAGGAGCTGATGTCAAGTGTCTTCCTCTGTCACTCTCTTCCCCATTCCCTAAAGACAAGGTCTGTCACTGAATCTGGAGTCTGCAGTTTGTTGACCAGCAAAGCTGCAGCAACCCATTCCTGTTTCTGCCCTGCCCTTCCCAGCTCTGGAATTACAAGTGTGTGTGTCCATGTGTAGCTAGAGTTCTCCTGCCTGGCCCACAGTCAGGACAAATCTCTGCCACCCGCCAGTCCCACAGCCGTCAGACCCAACCAAGGAAACACAGAGACTTATATTGCTTACAAACTGTATGGCCGTGGCAGGCTTCTTGCTAACTGTTCTTACAGCTTAAATTAATCCATTTCCATAGATCTATACCTTGCCACATGACTTGTGGCTTACCGGCGTCTTCACAAGCTGTTTGTCATGGTGGCGGCTGACAGTGTCTCCCTCACCCAGCTTCCTGTTCTCTCAATTCTCCTCTCTGTTAGTCCTGCCTATACTTCCTGCCTGGCCACTGGCCAATCAGTGATTTATTTATTGACCAATCAGCAACACATTTGACATACAGACCATCCCACAGCAGTCCATGTCCAACTTTTTCGTTTGTTTGTTTAAACCCGGTTCTGGGGATCTGAACTTAGGTCCTTCTGCTTGCACAGCAGACGCTCTTACCCACTGTCTTAGCCAGTGTTCGTTTGCTGTGAGGAGACACCATGACCACGGCGACTCCTATAAAGGAAAACATTTTAATTGGGTCTGGCTTACAGTCAGAGGTTTAGTCTGTTATCGTCAAGGCAGAAAGCATGGCAGCCTGCAAGCAGACATGGTGCCAGAGAAGGAGCTGAGAGTTCTACATCTGGATCAGCAGGCAGCTGGAAGGGAGTGTTATACTGGACCTAGCTTGAGCATTTGAGACCTCAAAGCCTGCCCCCTTATGATGCACTTCCTCCAACAAAGCCACATGCACTCCAACAAGGCCATACCTCCTAATAGTGCCACTCTCTATGAGACTATGGGGGCCATTTTTATTCAAACCATCACACCCACCGAGTCATCTGCTGTTCCGTAAATCTTTAAGTGACACCAACTCCAGTCTCTTCAGAGAGACTTCCTCACTGGGTCACATCCTCACCCACATATCATACAAAAGAAAGCATTTCTCAGCTTGCTTGGGGCTGCAGCTTAGCACAGACCACACTCTGTGTCCAAGCAGAGCCTGTGGGGTGCTCAGCATACAGAGACATGCTGTTTATCTGTCCTGCAGCACCTTCCAGAGATGGGGTACTTTCTAGTTTAATTATGTCTTCTGTGTGCTTATACAGACTAGGTTTTTCTTGAGATTCACAAACTGCCTCTGTGTTAGTTACATTTTGTTGCTGTGATAAAACGCCATGCCCAAGGCATCTCATAGAAGCAGGAGTTTATTTTGAATTATGGTTCTAGGGAGATTAGAGTCCATCGTGGGAGAAAGGTATGGCAGAAAACAGCAGGCATGGCCGCAGCAGCAGAGGCTGAGAACTCACATCTTCAAATGCTGGAGAGAGAGAGAGAGAGAGAGAGAGA